TTCTACAGATCGAATGCTTGAATTTAACAAGTCAAAATGATTAAAGTTGCGAATAATCACAATAAGTTCCATTTTATGTGTACATCTATGACGGGATAATTTTCAAAAATATAGAAATAAATTCTTTTTAAAATTTACACTGCAAAAAAAATAATTACGATAGACTATATACCTGTGTTTGAGCACCTGAAACAGCAGCATCAATGCCTCCAGACTGGTACTAAATTTCGAAATCGCCGCAATTTTGTACAACATGTCGATGTGCTCATCGACACCATCGTAATTGCCTAAATAAAACATATTTGATCATCATAATTAAATTGAATTTCAATGATTTTGCCGCTCAGCTGGTTGTAGCAACGGGTATCTAAGGGTAGCAAAGACTGATCAGATCAGTAAATTAGATTGGCTACGTTTAGTTGGCTGAAATAAGATGATGTCTCGGATTCACACTAGGAACTGCTGGATACTACGACAAGGATCGTGCTCCAAGTTGAAAATTATCTCTTTCCAATGCACGTTTAGAATAGATTGCTTCCAGACGAGCATATATATAAATATGGGTTTAAAACCATAGCCAACGTTAAATAATGCTAATTACTTTACTCTTAATGCAGTTTTCAAACTCAGGAATAAAATCAATATTGAGTTTATTAATTTATGGTTAGAGTCCATTGCTAATAGGCTCAAAAAGCGAAGTACGAAACAAAAGATTCGCTAAATGAGTTGCTCATCAGTTTCTGAATATTGGAGGGAAATTGAAATTTTTTGAAGCATATCGTGGTAACTCCCACAAGCAGCGAGACCAAAGCCATAGAAGTCGAAAAACCAAAAGCTCCTATGGAGTAAGTGAAACAAACAGCGAAAATAAAAAATAAACAAAACGACTTATATGCCAATAGAATATGTTACAAGAATTAAAATCATGTTGTACATAGAGCCGCCGATGTCATTTGTTAATACTATGAAGCTTCAATATATAAAATTATCAGTGGAGAATTCTGAATGACGAATTCCATCGTCATCCATCAATGCAAACACCTGAACAGGATTCTACAAACAGACTATTTCCTTCCTGCGGGAATGAACACTGCCTATTCCTGTAAAAATGCGCAGTCAACTATGAGAAAATTCAAAATATTCTCCAAAAGGGGTCGGCTCCCTTCAGCCACAGGCTACTTGGTAACGTCACAGTTTTATAACCACCTATATCTGCTATCCTCTAGATTTCGCAAATTATGTATATAGCTTTACCTCATCGCTAAAATAAAATGACGCGAAGGCTCCAGAATAATACGGGGCAGCGACGGTGAATAAATGTTCAATTCTATTCTTGGTTAACACTGTTCAACTGCCCAAGTGTCTCTGCAATGGCTTGTTCCGATCAATATTTTTATTTTTTATCAGCTTCCATTTTAAACTCAGTTACGCGTTCAATGCCACAGCTGAATCGTATTTAAAGGCTGCTTTTCAGCAGTGAACATGTGCGCCAAGGTCTACAACAGAACGATCAAATGAGAAACACGAAACATCACCTTTTACAATGCCAAAAGCCTTGTTTATGCCGATGAGCAGATTTCCAAGAATTCTGTTATCTATCTCGACAACCGCCACCAGAAGCTTGAACAACGTGAAGTAGATATCTAGCAGCTTCCGCGCTACCTCCATGTTGTGAGGGTCGAGGATTATCTGGTTCAGGAAGCAGAGACAGTAAAACTGAGTCTTGATGTCGATATTTTGCCTACAAATGCATCTTAGCTGAATGTCAAAATAGGTGAACACTGAAATTCAGTATATATTAATTAATAAACCCGTTCGAACCTAAAAAGGACTTTTTCCACCTCGTTCACTACAACGGCTGTCATATTGGGATGCGTGTACAGAAGTCGATTGAGAACGTGCCTCACCTGCGTAGAAACCTTAACGCTGCTATCCCCAAATTTGTTTACCAACGTCGACAATAGAAACTGAAAGAGAAGGAAAACAAGCATAAATATAAGTTCGATTAACCGAGCAAAGCAATTACCTGTTCCTGCTCAGGCTTTGCAATTAACAGATCGACCAAAACATGACATGCCTGGATTCGAGTCACTTCGACCGTGTCATGGCTCCATGCCTAAAATTACGCAAATTCATCTGATTCAAAAGAGTTTTAATTTTTTGCACCAGCGAGGATAAAACTTCATCCGGTTCATCTGATAATAGTTTTAAAAATTTGTCGCCCCTCTCCGTCCGGAATTGTTTAGATTTTACACATATTGCGCCGAAGCTGAATCAAGTGTAGACTACACGGTTATTCAACAGCTCTGTGCGTCTGTTTGCCACAATCATCTTTAGCATCCTTGGAAACATGCGGGATACTTAAAACTTTTGATTTATGCTCATCTTCAGTTATCAGATTTTGATTCTAGGAGCGATCAAGTGCGTCGACGAAGAATTCCCCATCGACAAGAGATCTGCATCGTTTTCTTTGCCATGTGATGTGCTGGACACTGATTTTTAGCAGTCCATCTTTGGCTTCCCAGGCGCCTGAGGCTGCATCGTTTCCTTGCAAGTAATTGAGCCATGTCAACCGTGCGTCTGTCTTTCAGGTTTTTCGATACATCAGTCAAGACTCGAACGTTTTTGACGTGGTAGAACAACTTGATATTCAGCAGCGAACGCCCTTCGTTACATGCTGTTCAGTTAATATTACTGTGCTGTTGCTGGTGCAATCGTTTCAAAAGCAGAAGCCATGGATTGTTGCAAAAGTACTGTAAGCACAAGGTATAAGTGCCCTGAAAGTAAAGCGATAGGCACTGGCAAGGGTAAAGATGAATTAGCAAATGACAATACTGCCCTAAAACAGTCGTGGACCCGCAGCTATCATTCTGTGTTTACTTTGAACTTAGCAATTATTAGGTGTTCAGTTAACCAGGTAGGTGCACTGTAGCATTGCGGGCATGAAACTGTTCATCGTAAAGGCGTTATTAATTCAGAACCAGAACTGTCAACCTGGTACTGCCCAACATGCGACTGCTGAAGGCCATTCTTTCAGCCAGACCAATGTACCAGTCATAGACACGTCTAAATTCCATCAATATTAACCAACCTAGGTTTTGAACTAAACCGATAAATAAATGATTTTTCTTATCCAAGTAAACTTCACTGCTGCTTAGTTTCAAATCATATATCCGTATAGTAGTCGATTTAGAGAAACATGCAGTACGACAATCTTTGCTTTTGACTGTTAGCATATAATGCTAACAATTCAAAATCTTCATTTTTAAGAATATAATACCAATAAATTACTGTAGTACAAGAACACTACTTGTACAAGTTACTTATGTCACTAAAAGAAACAAACAGTAGGACTCACCAGCAAGGCGTGAGCGAAGGAAGCGTAACGCTTTTTCAATTCACTTTCAAAGTAATACAACAGCAGTAACTTATCACCCTCTGAACCGTCATTGCAAGCCTTTTCAATCGCACCAAGAGGTCTCTAAAGCAAATAGGTATAAAATAAACAACAGCTGGAAATTTACTGAAATTAAATTAATTTCTGATCATTTTACTAGCAAACAGTTTGTGCAGTGTCAGTGGTAGCAATGACAGAATCAGAATGATATTTTACTGTTTATCATGAAAATAGCCCTAAATATGCTGTTATCAGTTGCGCATTCATTTCCTTTGCCGTTTCCGTAATACTGTACTTCAGTTTCCGCATTTTTACGATCAGAAGGGCCCATCTTGCATATGTTATCGTCCAAAGTTATCTGTATTCCAGTAAGCCACCTATACTGATATGGAGTGAAACCAATTTTCTTATCATTTCAGACTGGCAATGTGTGGCTATTATCTCATTACTGACAAATCCTCAACCTGCATAAAAGCTAAGGCTTAAGCATCAGTGCTGAACTTAAGTTAAGAATAGGCTATGTAATATTCCAGCAAAATCGCGGTATTACTGGCCTGGACTGAACCGTAAACTAGTTTCGTTGATTCCATATCGGCAGGGGCGCAAAACTACTCTCCACTGCAACAACAGTAACAGTAACTTGTACACTTTAAACAGTTGATCTAATGTTATTTTCTAAACCACCGACCCAACGAACTTCTTGTGTTGTTCTTTTTCTTCCTTCTGATTTTGGCAGGACGAATCATTAATCCAGCCATTAAGCAAACGAAAAATTGACTTAAACACAGTCAGCTAATAATGGTCCCATCAAAAGCCATAGCTATGAACGATAACATTAGCTAGTGAAACAAAGAAAACTTCTGAAATTAGCAACAATCAGATTGATGACTGCAGTTAGAGGCACTTTGCATTAAAAAAATGATGTCTGTAGAAAGAGTAAATACTTTACCGAATGACAAACTGTAAAGTACCAGTTTAACTTTGCTTAACATCGTTGAGAGAGAACTAATTAGATCCATTAAACAAGTTTATTAGCTCGAGTTACCACAGGGGCCATCAGAATAAAACTGTTTAACCGCAAACCACAAACAGGAATTTCACAGCGGATAGAAGATAATTACAAAAATTAACGCATAAACATACTCGCGCTCTCACTGTCTGGTAGATACGCTAATTGCAGTAAGTTTTTTCTTCGTCAGACTGACTGGGAGCCCCAGCGAAACAACTCGGTAAGAACATGCTTAAATCGATTACGAATTCCAGGGAAGTCAGAAATAGCTTTCATGAAGATTGAATGCAGTGGGTCTGAGCTTGCCAATATGGATAATCATCCTCAATGCTGCTGCAGTGCTCACAAATTTTTTAAAGATACATTTCTCCTCTCGTACCGAGCAAAGGCAATCACACATGGAAGAACAGCACAAGCATATTCAGGAACGTTGAGACAGAAGAAGCACGGTCGTGCGAACCTCTGACGTTTCAGCTTCATATTCAACATTGCCACTAGTGTTTGAACAACCGATACCCCGGATCAATACACAAAGTACTGCAGATCCTAGATCTTTCGAGTCAACTAAGAGATGGAATGGCGATAAAAACAATATATCCGCTATATTTCATTATCTTTCTTCAAAAACTCATTCAAGTAGAAACGAAAGAATGGAAAAAAACAGTACAGAAAATTAACTTCATATATACGATGTCATCAAAACTTAAACAATCAAAACTAAAATAAAAGGACTAATGGAAGAAATATGTGGTAGCGAAGTTTTGTTATTGGTAATAAATGGTACGAGTTAGGCGATATCATAATGTGAGCAAATGAATATTGTAGATATTGCTCCAATCGCTTACCAAACTTTAAAAAAACAATACGGCAAAAAAATACATGACCAAAATAAGTATAAAATACCGATGAAAGGTCAATCAGCTTGCGGTTAGGAAGAAGATCTTGGATGAAAAGTTCCTTGAGTGAATCTAAACAGCATCGTCATAATTATAAATTCAAATCGCCATGCAGCATGTGATGACAAAGTTGAAATAAAAATATATTACACAATTGTGTATTATATATTGGCATGGATAAAATTTTGAACCATGCATATTATGTTCTCAGAAAATTCAGAAGCAAATAAACAACTGCTCACACTTTTGTCATATATCTTTAGTTCATGCGAAACAGACTGAAGACAGAAGGTAGAAGAATATAAGTTGAGAAATCATTTTTAATCAGAAAATAAGCATTTATCATAATCATGGTTAGTACTAACAGCACAGATTCACCGTCGATCGTAAGTACACTTCACCTGACATAGGCTTCTGTGATTCGGTTTGGTTGTGGTAGAACTGAAAGTGAGTAAAGGAAAGAAATAGTTTGAAACCGTTAGAACTTGGGTTTTCGTGACACTATTATGATGGGGTCATTTATCACGCCAATTTCTTTATGAAGTTAATGGTGGAGCGCAGATATCCACTTCTATGCCACTGGCAAGGATTGCCTCATTTTAAAGATAGAGACGACAACAGCTACATGAAAAACATAGCGTGGAATCTCCTGTTCAGTTCCACAGAGTAATACCCATTTACCAATCCCGAAAAACGACTTATGTTACTGCGCGTGCGGTCAGTTCTCACGTCTATCGCGTGAGAGTAGGTCAACGCCGTGCACACTAAACTGAAGTACGTACCTTTCCTCTCTTGTGCTGAAAAAGTCAACTATTATGTATCTTCTTAAGACAAGAAGAAGCAGAAGAAGAGGATGGCAAACCGCTGAAAAGCTGTAATTTCACACAACTGCCAATCCATCCTACCTCAACTCTATGAACTGAAGGCCCTGTTGCTGATGTCGAATTTCAAAACAGCTTTCTGGAAACGTAAACAGCTTCACCTGCTACCATCCAGATCGTTCAAGAAAGTCGAAATCGCGTCGCGGCGGTTTTATTGGCTGGAAAAATTCGACCCGGTATACCAACTGCTGCGAACGATTCAGTTTCTGTGACGACGATTTACCGTGTCTTGTTGCGGAAAGTCGACAGAGATATTTATCAACGTATTTTAGCGTATTGGATGGCAACATCTACATCATTTCAGACCGCAAGCGACTCG